CTAATTTTTCGTCTTGAACCCGACAAACACCATTCTTGATCAGAATCTCGTACCCCTTTTCTTGAAGTTGTCATAGACTAATCAAGTTGGTCTTCAATTCTGGGACAAAGACGACATCGGAGATCTTGTGACTTTTATTTCCCTTGGCCTTGAAAATAATATTGCCCCTTCTAGCAACATTAATTTTGGAGTTGTCGCCGAATTTGACGGTGCTCAGAAAAGACTCATCCAAATCTGAAAATATTGTCTTATCACCGCACATGTGATTGCTGCAGCCCGTATCCAAATACCACAGATTATCTGGAATTTCCTCGGTTACATTGCACACCATCAAGAGAGATTCCTCTTCTTCTCTTTCTACAATGTTGGTCCTTTCTCCATTTTGGCAATTCAAGTAAGTTCTACATTCATTCTGATAATGACCATATTTATGACAGCGATAGCACTCAACATTAGATTTTGGGCGAAAATTGTTTGAATGATTACCTCCACGATAGCCCATTCGACCTCTTCCTCTTCCTGAGTTGTCTAAATTCTGGTGGTTGGCGGGATTGTTGCTATGGTTGCTGCTACGACCATATTTATTGATTGATGCGTTAACATAACAAGAATTACAAACTGTTTAATAAAGCTGTAAGCCACTAACAATATATTCCTAAAATTCAGCATCCACTACTAACTCAATTAAATATCCCTAAAGACTAGGACAAACTCAAAACAAATCAGTTACCAATATAAATAATATAATAAATTAATATTTCTAATAATAATCAGAATAAAACCATACGAGTGTTTTAGGAGGAAACAGAGAAGCTTGTCTCTACCATTTTAGGTATAGAAAAGGAGATTTTATCACTAAACTCCAAACTATAAAACATGATTCACTCTTAAAGCATTTTGAAAATCAGTTCAAATGTACTTAATGAAAAATTAAAGTTTTGTGAGATGTCCAGAGATGTGAAGGGAATCAATGTTAGAACAAGCATGAAAGATAAAAACAATAATATTCTCTCAATAAAGGTTTTTATTCCTGAAGAGAAGATCGATGATGTTCTGAGGTTGGATCACATGTTACAAATCGGGCTCAACATGTGTCATCCCATCACAATAAGAAATAGCCTTTGATATGTCACTGTCATGGTAAATATGGACATACAAGGCCTTATTATATAGAATGGATTAAGTTAAAGATTAGAGTATGCAAGGAAGTTCATGCTAAGAATAATCGGAAATCCAATGCTACATAAACTGGCTCTATAGCTCACACATAACACATAATTTCCTCGAGTAAAGGTTGGTATTTTAATAGTGAAAGTACCAAGCACATGACTAAAGATAAGACGACTCATGGAAATTAGACAAAGGGAAAAATCAAGGGCTCGGGGAAATTGGTTAATCCCGATCAAGAAGAGATTCTATTGAGAAAAGGCTTATCTGCCAATATGAACCAATTGTGTGATCAAATGTGGAATATGAACTTCAATAAGTCTAAACATTTTGTCAACAACAAAGGTAAAGAAGTTCTTTTGAAGAAGTTCATAGAAAGACTTCAATGGTTTGCAAGACCTAAGGATTGATAAAGAATTTCTGGATGAAGAATAAAGAACAACAAAGATGTCAGGAAAGATGTCTTAACATCTTTCTCAAGAGTATGAATTATCTCATGAGGATTGCGTCATTAAAGGGAAGGTTGATGGTCAGGCGGGAGGTCCCCCCAATTTTGAACAACCTATAGTGGTTTACAAGAAGCTGGAGAAGAATAGTGGATATGGCATAATTCCTTATCATTTGTCCTAAATGTGTGAATAACCAACAACACGATATGATGTTTGGTGATGCAGAAGCTGGTGTGTCGAAGTCCACTCACAAGGTACATGTATCAGATATATCTGATCTAGCTACTAGTGAAAGTTTCAGTAAGGTTCCACTCAGGTCTTTACCTTTGATAAATCATCATTACATTCGAATGTATTATGGAGAAGACTCCTAGGAAACAAGATTTAGTAGTCCAAATGGTGATGGCGATGTACCAGACATTCTGTTCAACATATTGACAAAGTCTTGAGTGCATAAGGAGAACGATTATCAAGTTCATGAAGATGTTGAGGATGATGCAACCAGAGCTAAGGATGGACGTATGGATAACCATGATCAGACTGTGAATGAAGAAATGATAAGCAAGAATGATAGCATTCTTCAGTTCGGTGCTACAAAGAGCAAGGAGAATAGATTGACTACTCCAACGGATATGTCATCCCATACTGAAAAGAATTTTGATGTGGAGTTGCCGCTGTTAATCAAGAAAATGTGGAAGTTGAAGAACATTATTTTGCCAGCATAATGAAAAACATCATGGAGAATGAACTGAGTATCAACATTAATAATGTTGTTAAGAACTTTGTCAGTACCTATGAGGATGTTGTTCTTATGAACAAGGATGTTCGTGATAGGTCTGAACCAGGCAACGAAGGGGTTGCTAAGGATGTTGATCCTGGTAACATGTATCTCCTTAATGAGGTTATTATGCTGAAGTATTTATGTTAAATAAGGATAGCCCTTGAAAGGATGTAGCCAAAAGAAGTTTTGATCTCCGAAGAGGATGTTCAGTTGCTAGAGGAAATCATTGTGAAAAACAATAATAAAGCTCTCGTGTGTGATGTTGACTTGTCAAACAACATGGTGGAGCATGTTGTTCATCAGATGCAGTTTGACCTTAAGTTAAGCATGATAGAAGATGTTGGATATCTTCCTGAATTTCAAGCAAAGCTAATGAAGGATGATATAGATGATAAGGAAGATGTTTTCTAAGATTTAACACATGCCTCGAGTATCATAGTGGTAACTAATTCACCAACTCAGAAGAAGGTCGAGCAAGCAGTTTTTGGTTACTATGAAGAATCTAGAATGCTTCTATCAGAATTAGAGGTTGAAGAAAATTTCTTGGTCGTTATGTTTAACACTGAGGAAATGATGGATGGTAGAATATTGAAGGGAATATGGTTGTCAAAAGAAATTTTGAAATTTGAAGAAGTGGTTTAGCTACGGAAGGAAGTGGTTCATCAAACTGGATAAATAATTATCGTGTTATTTTTTGCTTTTCTGGTCCATCATCTAGTTGTTATTGTGTTTCTGTTGTTATTGTGTTTCTGATTTAAATTGTCAAGCTAGTTGTCCAAGACATCAAATTCGATATCTATCCCCTTAAGAACAGGATTTCGATGCGCTAAATGGCTACCTCCTAAAGCTGGTTGGACGAAGATTAACTCGGATGCTAGTATCATAAAAGAAAGTTATTATGGTATATGGGTGATTAATCGCATTAATCTTTGTCAAATTGTTGAAACTTTTTCTTATCGCAAATATGGAAGCAAAGATAGTCAAGCGGCTGAAGCCATGGCAATGAAAACAGCATAGAAATTGCAACACGTAATGGATATCAAAAGATAGTGCTTGAATCAAACAACTTGGATCTCATAAAATGATTAATATTAAGAAGGGAGATTTTCCCATAAATAGTACGAGGATGATAGGCTATTTGATGAGGAAAATGGAAAATGGATTTGATGAAGCCAAGTTAAATCACACACATAGACAAAACAACATTGCGGCGCATTCTCTTGCTAGGGTTAGAGTTAGAAAGAACAATAGGGTTGTTGGAAAACTGGGTGATCCGAATGATGTAGGGGAACCTGGTATTTTAAATGGGCTTGAGGCCCAATTGTTATTCCTTTTGTTTCCTTATATAAAAAAACTAAGGTAATTGTATTTAAGTGAATGATAATAAATTGTGTTACTTTTTTATATTTATTAATCACCAATTAAATTTTACTAATTACATTTGAATAGTGTTAAACGTTTAACGTCAAAATGTTGTGTCTAAATAACAAAATTTTGTCAAATAACACACAAGTTCTCAATGCAATACATGGAATAATAATTTGATAAGGTACACCAAAATACAAGTAAACGTCAATCGTCGTGACTATAACACGAGACAGCTTAAAAGAGACTTGTGCCAACAAAGCTCCTTAATAAGGTCGTAATATTAAGTTTGGAGCAATAATTATTATCAAATATGTTATCCAACAAACAAACAAAAATGAAGTTAACCGGAAGGAATTTGATACCTTAAAATAAATAGATTTTAAAAAGAAAAAACAATAATTTTGATTTAAAATTAGGCAATTATAATATGTTAAAATAAAAGGCTAGAATCTACCCAATCTAATGTTTAGATTAAAGGTTATAACTTACACTTTTTTCCATCTAAAATAGACATAAAAATAGACCTTGACCTGAACACGTTAATATATGGGATGTACCAAGCGGCAAATAACGTCAGCATTAAAACTTCTTTAAGTCCGAAAAAGACACGAGTGGCAAGCCAAATCATAGGGTCCAAACTAAACGTGGACTAGACACGAGTGAACCCCACACATCCTAGACACAGCATTAAAAGATAAATTTGTATTATTATAGCATGCTTAAAGCAGAAGGGATTTTCTGCACACAATAATTCCATCCCATGTGGAAAGTTGGCATACATACAAGCTGGAGCATACAATCACAGTTGTATTAGACGGAAAATTCATTTCTGCCTACAGGCTAATAATAATTATTGTGCTATTATGTTCACAAGGAAATTTGCATCTTTAGATGGGCCAAGAGAAAAGAATAATAATATACATGCCTAGCCATTTTGATCAAACAATTAAATATTGAAGAAAGCCAGCCTAGCACTAGAGCAACCAGAAAATAAATGAAATTTGGAGGTGCAGAGAGAGATAAGAGCTGAGCAGGAGCTAATTACAATGAGATTTATGGTACTTTCACCCCTTTTTACCCACCATAGCAACACAAATTAGAAGGTAGTATAAGACATGTATATAAGACATGTAGACTGGACAAACACAAGCAAAACTCTTCTGAGGTCAGAACCAGTTTAATAATAGAATGGAAACTCATGTGATGAGACTCCAACCATGAACCATTCGAAAACCTTAGGTGCTACCTGCTGGCACCTGATTCGCAAAATCAAAGTTGTTCACAGGTTTTGGCCTCCACTTAGTCCTAGCCCTCACAATTTCAGCACCATCTTCAAGTCGAAGCAAATGCTTGCACTCAATGTGGCCGCTTTGAGCTAGATTGCCAGCATTAGCATCAGATACAGCGGTCAGGGACTGTAGAACACTGTCCTTGCCACACTCCCTCCTGTACTCCATAGTCATGCCACAAAGCTCGTGACTCTCCAAGATTGCTTGTGGAGCACTCTGCAAAATCAAAGCATAGCCTTTGATTAAGAGTCCTGATCTGATTAACCCATTGCATAACAAACTAAATAATGAACTACTTTTTATCTTCAAGAATCAACATGAATTAATTAGTTACAGGGATTTACAAAATATCAAACATCACAGTTTTGTTTATTAATTTTTTATCACCAAGTTATATCACATTACAGTTTTAAAGCTACTACTACATTCCCAACAACTACTACGGCAAAACAAATACTTCATCTTTGACTTTAGGAGATATCAGGTTGGCTTCGTTGCTAAGGTGGGTGAGTGAAGGATTGAAGTGATAAGGAGAGAGGATTTGTTCCCCGTTCCAAATATAACACTAACATTTGTCATTCAGGAATTTTATCTTAGACTAATTACCATATCAATTATTTTCATCAGTCTAGTAATGATATACTAGAAAGAGAGTTCAATCCCAAACCCAAACATAATACTCACCACCATACTAACATTTGTTATTAGAAGGCCTTATACTAGTCAAATGATGATTCTCACTAATCAAGCCATCCAGAAACTTGATTTGGTATTCCACATTTCTAAGTAGTCGCGTGAGATATTTGCCCATGAAGAAAAAGTGAAAAGAGACAACAATAATTGGAGTTGATAAGACTACAGGAACAGAAAACTACCTCCAGAATCCAGCCAATGTACTTCACATTGTTAACATGCTGGTTGACATCTAGGTCACTCCATCTAGGCTGAAAATACAGACACAATATGTAATTTAATTAGGAGATGCTGAGTTGACAAAATAAATCATGATAGCAAAAACAAAGAGTGAGCATACACTTAAACCCGAACGGATATGATCCGCTGTACTGTCATCAAGTTTTGTGAGTTTTTTGTCATCCTCTTCCAGAATTGGAGCAGATTCTACAAAAAAGGATCCTATCTCCTCTCTCACTTCTTCTGGAATTTTGGACAGCTTTCTGGTATGCTTATTCATCATGACCCAAACACTGTAGAACGCCAAAACCACCACCAACAGATCAGACATGCTTAGATGTTACTAATTACAAAGTCAGTGACTACGTGTAAATCTTATTTACGATACGACAATACAAGCCGTTATACAAATTTTCATATGTAATAAAATGACCTTCTTAGATCTTAATTTATTGTCTTTAACTTCACTAAAAGCAAATTGCAAAAATGATATTAACAAAATTCAGTTTTGATAAATTTGTTCATTTAGAGAAAATAATTGTTCTCGTGACTTCATAAAAGCATGAAAGATTCAAATTTGTATCCAATTATCCTACATGCACATTCAGAAAAAAATTTAAAACATGTATATTTCTGGCAGCAAAAGGAAGAGAGTGAAGAACAGCACAAAATGATTTCTACCTAGAGGCTCTCGTCAAGACTTCACCAGTATTATAGTCACGTAAAAGCCAATCACGGCGCATACCATTCTTGCCCGATGCAGACACCCAAGTTTCTACATGAACAACATCTCCCCTGGAAAAAAAAAATAGTCACTCCATGTAAAATGATCAGATTCAGAATATCTGTAATAATCCAGATAACAGACTATTTACTTCAATTGACACTGATAAGCCAACTAACCACAGAATAAATAGGTTCAATAATGAACATGAGACATTTAGAGTTACCATTCCTCATAAAGATCAAAACAACTAACAGAAATGGCATCCTAGCATGGATACATGTGCATATTACAATACATGTGCATATTACAAATGCAACATGTGAGGTGAGTCTGGGTGACTTACCACGTAGGATAACGATCAACAACAACTTGCATGCGCGCAACTACCCATATCAAGTTCTTTTTGCACATTTCAGGCGTAGAACCAAAGCCATCACCAAGAAGCCCCACAATCTTAACATGATTAAGTGCAGTTTCCTATTGTCAAACAAATAATTGAAATACATCATCTTGTATTAAAAGTGACTGCTATTATCAGTATCAGTGTGTGTGTGTAAGAATTTCAATTCTGCACAGCGAGTAAATATAAGCCTTACCAACTTTTTATCACCTAAGATTAAGAATGAAGATTCAGTTGCTTACCTGTAAATGATTCATTATTGTGTCTATAGACGCCGTTCGATCCGCACCAATTTCATATGATCTAATAGAAAAATTTTCACTGAACACAAGACCATCCTGAACAATTTTGCCTATACCAAAGGGGTCAATAAGCATGTCAGAACGTCTTGGCTTCCAGTCAAGCATCATCCACTGCTTCTCTGCTGCCAAAAAAATTGTAGTAATTGCAGCAAGAAGCATGCTCCAGTCAGGTAACTGGTTGATAAAAGTCCTCGAGGATTGCGACGAAGGCAAAAGATCCTCATACTTAAAGTTATCTACAGATGTAGAAACTTTGGTTCCATTAACCTTTGGAGGGGCTTGAGCATTTGCCTTTACTTGCAAGCCACCAGAAGATGCAGGTTTAGATTTAAGCCCACCAATGTTGGCTTGCCCGCCACCAAGTTTGTTACCACCAGAGTCTGGCAAGGATGCAGTAACAGGGAAAAATGAAGATGCAGCACCAGTGGCCACCATAATGAGTTTCTATTTTCTACAGAAGCTGCATGTTAAGTTGAATCAGGTTTAAAAAAAATACATATTAGCTTTCACACCCTCCATTGAAGCAGAGGTCTAAAACAATTACATTTCACCCTAATAACAAACAAAATCAACATTTCATGTATATCACAAATACAAAAGAGTGATAACAAATACTTTGCCATAAGCAAAGAGAAAATAAAGGAACCCCAATTTGAATACTAAAGAAAACAACTTCAATATCCAGAACAGATCCATAGTTTTTTTTTCAGAGTTTACAAGCTCCACTTAATCTAAAATGGCAAGTTTACTTTCTCACGTTTCCATAGAATTGAACAGAACAATTATAGAACAAAAAAAGTGATGATGAAAATTTCATTTCAGATAATAAAACAAATCATCGAGCGAAAAATAAAGAAACAACAACAACTCAGTTGAAAAAGGCAGTGTAGATCTGAGTCCGAATCTAGAAAACACGGCAACACAAGAAAAAGCTAAAAAAGCAAAATCCAAAATAAGGGCAGAAACAAAATAACAACATTGCAATTCAAAACAAAAACTACCACTCCAATGCATCGAAATCCACAGAAAACGCGATGCATCATTGCAATTCACAACCAGTTCTATATAATTTTAAATTTTACAACCACAAAAAAACTGAAAATCACGAGAATCTTGCGATAAATGCAGAAAACACGGTTGCTTTGGTTAATATATTCGCGAGCTTCGATCTTTCAAGGTTTATGAAAGCCATAAAATTCCAAAAATAAAATTAAAAAAAATAGATTTGAAAACTAGTTATGCGGCGCATGAAGATACAGTGTAGATCAGAGGAAAAGATGAAGCAATGAATTAGAAGAGAGATTTGCGTACCGGAGTGAAGAAAAAGAGAAAACCGCTCAACAAACGAAAAGGAGAAGAACAAACAGAAAAAAGCTGGAATGAGAGGAAGAAGAAAGAAGGGGCTATTATGTAATTTCGGATCCCGGGTTCTCTCTTCTCTTCTAGATTGTATTTTTTTTAATTTATAAAAAAATGAAATTTATAATTGTATATTTTTTAAAATTATTATATATAGGAATGGTTTTGGAAAAGATGGAAAATAAGGGTGGGAGTGATGGGGAATTGGTATTCCATCGACTTCAATATATAGTGTTGGTATAGTTCGTGTCTACCCCTAACTTGCCAGTACTTCTCTTTCAAAAAGTTTTTCCAGCTCGCTATATCACATTTACTATCTTACCCCTACTTGAAGTTTTCTTTTTCAAGGATCCTTCTCCAGTCCACCTATTATTATTTTATATATAGAATATTTAACTTTAAACATAGAATCTTCCTAAAAAAATTTTCCTATAAGCAATATGATTCGTCTAGATTCTTTAAATTATTATCTGTATTTGTTATTTTTAATGTAATATTTTATCACTTTTTTTCAATCAAGAATAAATATTTTATTTTTGTTTTGGAAATTTTTTTTAAAAACATAAAATTATAAAAAAAATAGTTGGCTTAAATAGTTATTTTTAAAATAATAATTTTAATATTTTATACTTTTAATTTCATTTTTTTGCATATTATAATTTTATAAAATTACTTAAATTTGAAACAAATTTATCTTTTTTTTTTAAATTTGCTTTTAAGGAATATTTTTTTAAAAAAATATAATTTTGACTATATTTTAATTATAGAATGTCAAAATTAATATTTTAATTTATGAAAAATATTTTTTTTAAAATTATAAAGTTTTTATAAAAATTATTTGGCTTAATTACAATTTAGATCTCTTATTTTATCTAATTTACGAAACTTATCATCATATTTCAAATTTAAATAGTTTGAAATAACAGATATTTTCATTTTTAAAAATTTTGGTCTCTTCTTTCATATTTTTTTTAAAAATTAACAATATTTTCATTTTTTAAATAACAGATTTATTATTTCATAATATTTGTAAGTTTATAAATAAAAATGTAAATTAAAAAAGAATATTTCATTGATTTTTTATTAAAAAATAATAATATGAGAGTATTAAAACTATTTGAATTTAAATTTTGAGAGTTAATTTTGTGAATTAAATAAAATTAAAAGAGCAAAACTATGATTTACCAAATTATTTTTAAAAATATACTTTTTAAAAATAAAACAAACAAATTTAATATTATCATTTTATATGGATTATTAATTTAGTATCTTTTAATCTTTTTTTAAAATAGTTGTATATTAAATTAAATTTAAACTAATTAAGTTTTGAAAAGCTAGGGCAAAAGAAGTGAAGTGGAAGGTGTGAAAGGTAATTGCAAATCCTATAAGTTAAAAAGAAAGAACGTAGGTGACCACAATATAATGTAGTAAGATTTTCTTGGTGGTCACATCCATTTTTTATTTTCTACAATCAACATTCAATTTCAAGAAAAAGCAGAGAAACCAATTCAAAATTTTCTTTGAATCTACAGTGACTATGTATTGCGTAACATATCTAATTAGGAATTCGGTGAACTATATTTCCCCGGCCGTCGTTAGATTGTATATTTATTCGGCATTAATTTATGATACTATAATGATTTAGTATCAGACTACTATTATATTTTCTTTTACACAAAAGTACTGCTTTTTAATTACAATATACTTTAAGCGTAATTCAATTAGATTGAATTATTTTGACGAGAGAAACGTAAAAGAAAATAGTTTAGTTTTAATTTAATTTTTTATTTATTTTATTATTATATGTGAAAATAATTTATTCTAACTAAATAATAATGCAAAATTGTTTTATATTTATAGGTATTTCAATTGATCCCTTTATTTATTTCTTGAAACTTTAATTATACATGATCTTTTTTATTCTTGGTTTCGAATCTTATATTGTCGTGAGTGGAAGTTGTAACATTTTATACTTTCACCTTCCACTATCTTATTTTTTAAGTTTTTGAATTTCTTTAATTAAAATAAATTTTATATTATGTCAAGGAATTACAACTTTACAAGGAATAATAACCAAACATTTTTTCTAGGAATTAATAATAGTATGTTTTTAAATATATATATATATATATATATATATATATATATATATATATATATATATATATATATATATATATATATATATATATATATATATATCTCAAAGATGTTGTTTGTATTCAATTAATTGTATTCGACAAGAATTGAGTTGTGTTTCGTTAGAAAATTGAGTTATGGTTTGACGAAAAGTCAAAGTGGTATTTCTACATGGAGTCGAAGTGGGTTGTTTTAAAGTGAAGTTCCAAGCTCGACAAGTACGTGAATTCACAGAAAATATGCGTTGCATAAATTAGTAGTTCGCTAGCTTTATGTATAAATACTATTGTAATACTCTAATGATATAGGACCACCCATTTTCATTACAAAACATATTCATTCATTCTTCTTTCTTAATGCAAAATAAACATTTGTTCTAATTGTTAGAACACAGATTGGTTCTTAATAATAACTCTTTATTTTGATGATAACTGTTAGGAAATTTTATATTTAAGAATTATATACTCTAAAATTTGTTTGAGAGTTTTACTGCAGATTGAAATGAAATTAACTCTCTAGAAGCAAATCTGAATTGTATACAAGAAGCTATCCTGACTCTGAAGCGCCAGATGCACTCATTAAGAGATTCTGATTACTGTTTACAGAAGATCCTGAGCGTAGTCTCCAGAAGGATCTGAAGCAAAAAGCTCTAGAACATTCTGAAGCTAGTCAGAAGATTCTGAAGCAGAAGCATCTGAAGCTGAAGCATCTGAAGCAAAGAAGAATATTGTTTGAAGAGTTTCTCAAAGCATAATTCTACAGAAGTCTCTGAAAGTACTAACGCTGCCAAGTACTGAAGTTCTGTGTCAAATATGCTCTGATGATCAACACGCTGAAAGCACACATGCTGCAGAAGACTCTGATACAACAAAGTTCTGAACATCATTAGAAGACTCTGATTCATTCAGACTCTGAAGAACTTGCTGAAAACTGAAGAAGAAATATTCAAGATTATATCCGTTGGAGTAAATCAACGTCTCTTTCCTCATTTGTGCTAGACACAATAACACAGACAAAAAGGATTTTTCTGTGCTATCTACTTCTAGGAAAGGTCACTTGATGTGAAGACAAAAAGGCTCAGACCTTTTTGGGACTCTCTTTTCAACGCTCAGCATCCTTGGATCAGCTGCCTATAAAAGGAAGTCTCCACCAAATTCTTCAGTTACACAATTTGCTGAAAAGAAATCATATTATTCTAAGCTCTCATTCTTTCATATTCTTCTTAGAACTTCTTGTACTTAAACTTAAGAGAAAAATCACTGTTGTGATAAAAGCTTTATAGAAGCATTAATACTCTTGTATTTGATTTACATTGATTGTAAAGGTTTTTCCTTAAGAGGATTCAGTTGGAATCAGTAGCTCTTGAGAAGACTAAGAACAGTTGTTCTTAGGTGTTACTATTGTAATCTGTTTGATTAAATAGTGGATTAAGTCCTTGTTGAGAAAGGCAAATCACTCTAGGAAGGGTGGACTGGAGTAGTTGTTTTAAACGAACCAGGATAAAAATAATTGTGTGGTTATTTTTTTAAGTCTTAATCTTTCATACTTATTCAACCCCCCTTCTAAGTATTATCTCACCTTCAGTTGGCATCAGAGCTCCGGTTCTGTGTGTGCTACCACTTAACAGTGTCAGTAAAGATCCAGAGAGAAATACTTTGATATATATTTATTTGTTACAATGGCTGATAATTCAATGTCCAATATTAACAATAAATATGAAGAAAGGGATAGGATCAGCATCAAACCCCCAATGTTTGATGGGGAGAAATTTGACTACTGGAAAGACAGAATTGAGAGTTTTTTCCTAGGATATGATGCTGATCTATGGGATCTAGTCATAGATGGATATGTCCATCCCACAGATGGGAATGGCAAGAAGATTGACAGAAAATCTATGACAGATGCTCAGAAGAAAGATTTCAGAAATCACCACAAAG